CAGCCTCGGAAAGCCTATACAGGGTCGCTATGAGTTGGAACCGACTCCACGGCACACCACCACCATATATATGTATATTATATATAGATGTTTGTTGTTAAGTGCCCTCAAGTCAGTTATAGGGTTTGTGAGGAGGGGCTGGTGGGTTTGAAATGCTGACCTTATGGTTAACATGGTTACCATCCCAGTGCTTACCCCACAGTGCCACACCAGGATTCCAAGCATCTAAATGGTGGCGGTGGTGGCGTACTGTCAAGTGACTTCTGACTCAGAGTGACCTGCACAGGGTTTCCGAGGCTGTAAACCTTTACAGGAGCAGAAAGCCTCATCTTTCTCCCGTGGGGTAGCTGGTCAATTTTAACTGCTGAGCTTGCAGTTAGCAGCCCAATGCATACAAAGCTACAGACAACTATATAGAAATATGTTGGTGGTGGTGTTAAGTGCCATCAAGTCCGTTCTGACTCAGAGTGAACTTGTATAGGGTTTCTAAGGAGCAAGCGGTGGGTTTGACCCTTGTAATTAGCAGTCCAGTGCTGACCCAACAAAAACCCAAATGCATTACTGCAGAGTTGATTCTGATTCCCAGAAACCCTAGGAGTCTTTGCGTGGATCTGTAGGTTAATGCACTGGATTGCAAAGTTGGTGTGATCCAGAAGGTCAGCAAACTCACCAGCCACTCCTTAGAAACCCTATACAGAGTCACTATGTGTTGGAACCAACTTGAAGGCACTTAACAACAACAACAAGAGCACAAAGTAGAACTACTCTACAGACTTTTGGAGGTTGTAAATCTTTGTTGAAGGACACTACCCCATCCTTTCCCTACATGGCAGCTTGATGGGTTCAGTTAGCAGACCTCTGCTTAACCCATCTTAAATGCACAATACAAATGTATGAAATTGAGTAATTTCCTTTCATTGCTAGAATCATAGGATATCAATATTCCCCCCCCCCAAAAAAAAAAAATTAATGGGAAGAGGAGCTGTGAAGAGAATTTCATTTTGAGTAACTAGCAGACATATTAACGCAGTCTACAATCTAAATGCATTTCCTTGGATTTCTTACCTTGGATAAAGCCCATTTTAGGTCTTCTTGATCTTTGATAGTAGTTCTGGTCTCAATCACACTGCTGGCATTTTCTAGGACTTTAGATACAGTTAACTTCAAGTTCTGATACTCTCTCATTAAGTCGATGAGTCCACAGCATTGACCCTGGCTGTAATGATGAAATCTATCATTTATTGACACATTTTATGAAAGGGAAGAGTGTCCTATGGTTGGGTTGATATATCATCACATAATGTATTCCCAGATGGATGCCTGACTACCTCCTGAAACCCAACTGTACATGTCAATCTGATTGAACTCTAATGTGCAAAATGTTCTTCATGAACCAAGAGTGTACTTACTCATTAAAACAGAATCCATGAACCTAACGACAAGTTACATCTGTTCTTAACAAAGACAAACTTTCTTTGATGAAATCAGTCAGATTTGTATGCTTCACAAAAGAAGGCGGAGTGACTGACTTTGCAGTCCAGGAGCAGAGGTCCCTGGGACTATCAAGGGAGAAGAGCGGAGTGCGAGATCCTACACAGAGAAGCAGTGACGCAGGAGGTGGAAGCAGAGCAATGACGTGGAGAGATAGAGTGGCCAGAGACTCTAGACCGAGAGAGGGAGAGGGGCTGTGTGCTGACGACCCAGGGGTAGGCTTGTGGGGTGTACCCTTTGGTTAGTTGATGATGCATGGAGGGGACTGTAACCATGGCAATGAAACAATATACGATAGGATGAATGTAAAGCTAATGTTCTCCCATGTAAACTATCACATAATTCACAATAAAACATTTTTTAAAAATTGTATGCATCAGAATGTCTTTTAGTATGCTGTTTTAATCATTTCAGAACGGTATGCATTGTGGGGAAGAAAAACAACTTTATGTTTCCAAAGTGTTATCAATTTTCACTGAATACTCATCTCTTGAAGATGTCAAAATAATAAGGTAGAGTTTATTAGTGCAACACTCCTTTGACCAAGCAATTCTACATTGACCAAGAAAGAATATGCAGTAAGACTGATGTAAAATTATATTCATCACAGTATTATTTATAATAAGACAAAAAATAGAAATGATGTAAACGTTAAAAGCAGAGCAATCATTGAAAACCTTTGGATACACTCAGTTAATGGCACATTGTGCAACCTCTATGGAATCCAATTTAGGAGACTAAGGATATGAGACGAAGCCTTGTTTTTAAAGTTTAAGGTTTACAAGGAGCAGCTGGTGAGTTTGAACTACCTACCTTGAAGGTCAAACCAAACTTGCAGCCCAAGTGCTTACCCTATGATGCCACACCAGGATCCAAAGGCTACATTAAAAGCCTATCGTATACACCGTGTTCTCAATTTTTTTAAAAAAGTCTAGTGGTGGTTGTGGCTGTATGCTGTGGAGTCAGTTCATAGTGACCCTGTATAGAGTTTCCAAGGCTGTAAATTTTTACGGGAGCCAAAAGGCTCATCTTTCTCCTGCGGAACAGCTGGTATCTTCAAATTGCCGACTTGAGGTTAGCAGCTTGACTCATAACCACTACGCTAACAGAGTTCCTTTGAAAAGGCCCACACGTAGATAAAATAAGTAGCTCATTAGCAAAATGTAAATAGTAACTATTTCCATAGATGTATGCATGGTTTTCATTTGTTTTAACGTTTCACAATTAATTTTGCATTAAAAAATTGCTGTTGTTAAGTGCCATCGAGTCGGTTCTGACTCATACTGACCCTCTATAGGGTTTCTGAGGAGCAACTAGTGAGTCTGAACTGCTGACCTTGCAGTTCAGACTGACCTTGGGGTCCAGTGCTTACCTTACAATGCCATACCAGTACAAGTTATTAAATAGAAAACCAGACTCAAATTACAATGATTTTCTTCTAGAAGTTTTACAGCTTTGGATTTTGTATTTAGATCTATAATACCAGGGGAGCCCTGGTGTGGCGCTGTAGGATAAGCACTGGACTACAAGGTTGGTTTGAACCACAAAGTTGATGGTTCAAATGTACCAGCCACTCCTTGGATACCCTAGACAGGGTTGTGATGAGTTAGAACTGACTCAATGACAGTTCACAACAATAACATAGTATCAAGTGAGTCCTGGTGTGATGCTACCGGATAAATACTGGAGTAGCGTGAATGCAAATTATTACAATCACTGTGGAATATGGTTTTCCAGACTCTTCTGAAGCTAAGCAAACACCATAAAACTTAGCAGTCCCACTTCTACGTACTTACCCAAGTGAACTGAAAACAATTCACACTAAAACCATTTTGTGCATATTTATATATACTTTATTCACTATTGTTAAAAACGGAAAGAACCCAAATGTGTTTGTACTGATGAAAGTATAAACTGTGGTATATCCATTCAATATTATTCAGCTACAGAAAAAAACGACCTTTTGTGCTAAATAAAAGATGTCAGGCTCAAAAGGTACATTCTGTAGATTTCATCTATATGTCATCCTGAACAAGACACAGCTGTGAGGACAGAAAACTGATCAAGGACCATCGGGGACTGGGGGCAAGGAGAAGGGTTGGGTATGATGAGAAACGAGGGAGTCTTTCTGACGTGGTGGAACTGTGTGAGTTCATGACTACTCATAGAACTGTACTTACTACAAAGTGTGAATTTTATGCATATAAATTATAGAACAATTTAATTCAAACAAGAGAGCAAAACACACACAAATAAAACAAGGGAAGGAAAGAAAACAAGAGACCCAGATTCTCATCATAGAACATGAAATATTTGACCCCTCCTGCTTTTATACATTGAATTTCACGTGTAGTTATTTCAAGACCACATTCTCAGTGAAGTTCTGCAGGGTGTTGCTGAAGAGACACAGAAGACTTCAGATGGAAAACAATATCCAGTTCTTGAATCCACCAGCACAAGCCAACAGGCAATGCAAATGACTGGTCCAATGTTTTTAAAATAAGTACTGGGAAGTTTTTACTTACTTTTCATGAATTAACTTCTTGGTATCATCCCAGGTGACTTCTAGACGATGTATCTCCCTGTCAACTTCAGGGGCAAAAGCTATATCTTTCTGAGCAATCTGTTTTGCTTTGTCTTTCAGCCAACATAGCTCATGCTCATGAGAATTCAATTCATCTTCCAACTGATTAAAGACTCTCAACCTGTGAATTCAAATTTTTTTTTTTTACTAAAGGTAGTGAACTTATATTTTATCTCCATAAGTATATGACGCGTCCGTAGAACATGAATAGAGATATCTGGGGAAACTTTAGCCCAACAGTTAATATATAGTAACTGATAGATATTTTTTCCAGTTAACTTCACAGAACAATGCACAGTGTAGCTTAGAAAACAATTATTCTATTTACTCTCAACCTTCTACTAAGGTTCCTTTGCTGCTGTCAAGACTCGGGCTGACCCTATAGGTCAACACAAGAGCACTAACTGCAGAGGTCATTAGAAAACAGTGTTTCTTTGACATGAGGTCTAGATTTTGTAAAATAATAATATTTAAGAATATTTGTTTCATTCAAAATAAAAATAGCTTTACTGACTTGAGTTTTAAGGGGGAAAACATTTTGAAAGCTTTAATGAAAAGAGGCTTCATGTAAAAATGGCCATTTTGGGTACATAACAATCATTTTTGAGCATTTGTTAAAAGGTCATATAGAGCCAACTCTTGACTCTCATTCCTTGCATTTTGGGACCACACTATAGAGTGTATGAAGTCAGTATATATGGACGATTCTCTTTAATTCCTAAAACACAGTGGCTAGGGGCAGGTGCCTTCAAAGGATGAGCACTGGGCTGTAAGGCAGGTTTGAACCTCAAGGTCACTATCGCTATGAGGCAGAACCAAGTCGATGGCAGTTAACACCACCACCCACAAAGCAGAGAGGTGGTGCACGTCACATGGCCCAGTGGAGCAGAGTGTGGCTGGGATTTACTGGATCCATCAGTCCATGCCACAGCTTCTGTTCCTTGCAGTGGGACTCTGGTGCGTTCAGTGTTGAGGACACTGTTGGGGGGATCTTGGGCCACTCCAGGGCTTTTCTTTCCAGCAATTTCAGAACAGTTCAGGCCTGCAGCTTAATGCTATGAGCCTCAACTGCCTGGGCCAGTGGGCTGCTCCTTCCCCAGAGCAGCCACATCATTCTGGCTTTGTTCTTGCTTTGTTCATTATGCCTTCCCACATCCTGCCCCTCCCCCCTCCCTTTTTTGAGTTTATTGTTAAGCTGCCTACAGAGGTATAACCTCAGGAACCTTATCTTTAGCTTCAGTAGGAACACTATTAGCCTCTAACTAGGAGTCCTTTTGGCACAAACTAAATGCTGGGTTACCAACTGAAAGGTTGCCAATTTAAGCCCATCCGGTGGCTCTGCAGGACAAAGACAAGATGATCTGCAAAGATTGTTGTTGTTATTGTTAAGTGCCATGGAGTTGGCACCGACTCATAGCAACCCTGTATATGGCTTCCAAGAAGCATCTGGTGACCTTGAACCGCAGGTCTTGCGGTTCAAGCTGACTTTGAAGACCATAATCCTACAGCACCGCACTAGGACGCCCCTAGAAACCTGGGGGCCAGTTCTAGTCTGTCACATGGGATTGCTAGGAATTGAAAATGGTTTGACTGCTCCCTACAACATGAACATCATCATCTAACTAAAGTCTGGTTCAAAGAAAGCAGATGGCAATGGCCTTGGCAGGTCAGCCTAACCCTGATCAATGATGGCATGATGATGTGTATGCGTCACAACTGGTTCTTTGCTCACAGAAAAGATGAAAGAGGAAGTGTCCTGAGAACATGAATTGTTGTTGTTATGTGCCGTGGACTCGGTTCCGACCCACGGTGACCCTGTACAGGGTTTCCGAGGCTGTCAATCTTTATGGGAGCAGAAAGCCTCATCTGTCTCCCGCGGAACAGCTGGTAGTTTCGAACTGCTGACCTTATGGTTTGCAGCCCGATTCGTAACCACTACACTACCAGAGCTCCTGAGAGCAAGAATAGGAGAAAGGTTTTATTAAGAAAGAAAGTTAAGATGGAAAGGAATATCACAACCTTAGGTGAAAAACATTACTTTTCAAATTTACTGAGGGAAAAACTACTGAAACCTTTGCTTTTCCATTAAACCCACATGACAAAACCCCACCTTGTCTAAAACTGTATCTCTGTCTCCTCCATGCCTACCAGCAAACAGTTAAAAGTAGGTGGACACAACTATTCCTCCAGCGAATGGATTTCACTTCAAATGAGTGAAAATAAACTTCCAAATACTGCTCAATGTCTTGCTGACCCCAGATAGCTCATTTCCTCTGTACAACTGTCTATCTTTTTCTCTCTTCACAACTAATCAGCTTGCTCCAATCATGTTCAATTAAAGCTGATTTCCTTCAATTCACAATAAAAAAAGTTTTAAACACAAACAAACAAAGACAACATTTGCGGCTGAGTTCCTTCCAACTCATGAAGATCCCACATGTGTCAGAGTAGAACTATGTTCCCTCCATAGGGTTTTTAACGGCTGGTTGTTTGGAAGTAAATTACCAGGTCTTTCTTCTGAGTCTCTGGGAGGAACTTGAACCCACAACCTTTCTGTTGGCAGCGGAGCACCTTAACCATACATTAACAGTTTGTACCACCCAGGAACTGCTACCCTAGTATTTACTGAGGGAAGAATAACCACCAAAGATAAACTCTCACGCTTTTACCATCAGAACCAAAAATTGATTCAGATCACTACCTTTCTCCTCTCCCTTCATTCTTGTTACAGATGATTCCCTTCTCCTCTCAGTTAAAAGTCGTTTAAAAGTAGATGATCTTTGTGTGGTTGTGTGCGGTTGAGTCAATTCCGACCTTGTATAGTGTTTCTGAGAGTGACTGGTGGGTTTGAACTGTCGACCTTGTGGCTACCAGTCCAGTACTGATCCTACAGCACCACACCAAGTCTCAGATAATGTATACACTCTCTTGTAAATAAGGTATCTGAGTGGCTCTCGACATCATTGTTGTGTGCCGTCGAGTTCACTCTGACTCATAATGATCCTCTATGACAGATTAGAACAGTCCTATAGAGTTTCCTAGGCTGGCATCTTTATGGGAGCAAACCACCACGTCCATTCAGTTAGCAGCTGAGTACTTAACTATTGTGCCACCAGGACCCTTCGGCTCATCTACAGCCCTTAGGAAAATTCTCTTGAAAACCAAAGATAATGTTTCTACTTTAAGTTATAACTTTAGCTTCAAAATGTATTTTTAAAAGTTGCTAACTCTAGCGCTCCTAGCAGTTTTATGCCAAGGGTCATTCCAGAACAAAGGAGAGGAATGGCTGGCTTCCTGTTACCTCTGTTGAAGAGCTTGCTGTGTGGGTTCTTTCAGCCTCTCCTGGTCAGCCCGCTCTTCAATGTCCTCTATGTTCTTCAGCAGCTTCTCTTTCTGCTCCAAAAACGCCTTCTTCAACACCGCCAGGGCGTCTGCCTCGCTCTGCTTGGTGCCCAGAAGGTTCTGGAGTCTCTCTACTTCCAAACAGAGCTGGTCGGCGGTGGCTCTGCAGGAAGTCCTCTGCTCAGAGCGCCCACTTTTCAGATGGTACTGGGCTTTAGTAAGAATGCCATCCAGACTGATGGCAGCAGACTCTAATGTCTTAGCATCTTGAGTGGCTTCATTTAGGTCCTTTTCTAGTAAATCGGACTGTTTTTTATTCATACTGCTGGTGGCTTCCACTGTCTGCCTCAGCTGGTGGAGAAGCCGGGACAGAGAGGTATGACTCTGTAGGAATTCTGCCAACTGACCCAGGGCAAGCTGTCGCCTCTCCACCACCTGGCTGGCCTCTTCAAACAGCTGGAAGCAGTCCTCCGCCTTGCCCTGGAGGAGGTGGAGGTCCTCGGCACAGCCAAGAGAAGCCAGCTTTGCCAGGTGGTCCTGCAGGCTCTTCATTTCTCCCTTTTTGCTCTCCACTTCTGCTGTGTGGTCCTGGACAGGAGAGAGAATGACTGATTCAGTGGTCATGGTATGGTTTACGCCACAGACAGGCTATAGGATTAATGATGCTAAGTTAGATTTTTAATTGCAGCGAGTATCATACTATTTAAAGTTCTGGTGGATAAGCATTGGATGGCTATCCACAAGGTTGGCAGTTCAAACCCACTAGCTCCTCCAAGGAAGAAAGATGAGGCTTTCTAACCTCGTAAAATTTCCAGCTCTGACACCCTATGTAGGGTGGCTAACTTGGAACAGATTGGGTGGTAGTGGGTTTGCTTTGACTTTTTAGTGACTGCCTTAGCAGTGTTGGTAAAATCTCCCGTGATTTGAAATGAATTCATTCCATGGGATAGAACTGCCTTGAGGATGAAATTGTTCATGGAGAGAAATAAACAAAAAAACTTGGGGAAAATGTCTTAAATGCTTGTTTTACTGTGCTTCGCAGACACTGCGAGTTTGACAGATTGAGGTTTGCAGCAACCCTGCATCCAGCAATTCTCTAGACGCCCTTCTTCTGAAACAGCATGCGCTCACTCGGTGTCTCAGTGACACCTTTTGGTCACCCTCAAACATTTTCATGGTTCTCTGGTAGTGTAGTGGTTACGAATTGGGCTGCGATCCACAAGTTCAGCAGTTCGAAACTACCAGCTGCTCCCCTGGAGAAAGATGAGGCTTTCTGCTCCCATAAAGATTTACAGCCTCGGAAACCCTGTTCAGGGTCGCTATGGGTCGGAACCGACTTGATGGCACTTAACAACAACAAAATTGGACACTTAATAGACTACTGTCTAGTGCAAGTGTAACTTTTATATGCACTGAGAAACAAACAAACAAAAATGTGTGGCTCACTTTATTGTGATATTTGTTTGATTGCAGTTGCCTGGAGCGAAGCCTGTAGCACGTCCAAGGTGGACCTTGATAGAGAACTAACAGAGCTGACAGGGGAAGGCTCTGCAGACAGAGGGTGACAGCATCTTCAGAGGCAGGTAAAATCTGCACATGGCTTGGTTCCTCATCTTTAAGGAATAAATCAGAGACTGCTGTGTAAAAAATTCACTCACTCCCAGTGAATCCAGTTCAGAATCTAGCAGAACATTGCTAACAATCCCAGCATGGTTCCCATGAAAGAGAACTTGCCTGCTTTCAGCTTTTTCATTTACTTGAAATCTTCTTGGAACAAGATGGTCGTTATTGTTACTAAGCGCTTGTAGAGTCTGTTCCAACCCAAAACAACCCTGTATAAGGTTCCTGAGGAGCCACTGGTGAGTCTGAACCACCGACCTTGCAGTTAAAACTGATCTTGTGGTTGAGTGCTTATCTTACAGCGCCACACTGTTCTTGATGTTAAGTGCTGTTGAATTGGTTCCAAACTATACTGTTGCTGTTGTTAGGTGTTGTCAAGTTGGTTCCAACCTATATTGTTATTGATGTTAGATGCCATCCAAAAGATGTGTCTATAATTGTTGTCATGGAAACCTTCTATCTATAGGGTTTCTGAGAAGAAACTGGTGAGCTTGAACTGCCAACATTATGGTTCAAACCGACTGGGCAGTCCAGCGCATTAACACAGAGAGCCACACCAGGCTGCCAACTGTTTAGTAGAAAGTGTCTATTATTACTTCTTCTATTAACCTCCTTAAGGAGCTCTGGCAGCATAGTGGTTATGAATCGGGCTGCAAGCCTTAAGGTCAGCGGTTCAAAACTACCAACCATTCCGTGGGAGAAAGATGAGGCTTTCTGCTCCTATAAAGATTTACAACCTTGGAGACCCTGTACAGGGTCACTATGAGTCAGAACCGATTCCATGCACATCACTATGACAACAATTAACCTCCTTACGTATGCACTGTCATTTGCAAGCTATACGACCTGGGGCAAGTAACTAACTACTGCAGAATTCAGTTTTCCCATTTATCAACAGACATAATGGGAGTCCTCCCTCACAATGATGTTGGGAGGATTGTAGAAGTGATTAGACATCTAGAACTTAGTACAAAAACCAGCATTGAATAAGCATTTGATACAAATTAATGGTTACTCATTAGGAGCTCTGGTAGCGTAATGGTTATGAATCAGGCAACAAACCGCAAGGTCAGCAGTTCGAAACTACCAGCCACTCCCTGGGAGAAAGATGAGGCTTTCTGCTCCCGTAAAGATTTACAGCCTCAGAAACCCTGTACAGGGTCGCTATGGGTCGGAACTGACTCCACAGCACATAACCCCCACCATTACCAAATAGTGTCAATAAGCTTATTATTTAGCATATCTTTCTGCTTGATGATCAGTATTTGACCTAAAAAAATTGGGGCGGGAGATGCCATGTTAGATATCAGGCACAATTTAAAGACAAGGAACCTCCCAAATGTTAAATTACTTTAAAGCTAAACAACAGTCATTGCATTCAGGGCAAAATCGAGTGTTAAAGAATTGGAAATTCAGTACTGGTTTCAGCATTGAAACAAAATAAATTAAAATGAATATTCTTATCACTTTACCAGGAACACATTTCCTGTAAGATGAACAAACATTGTCTATTTTATCAGACGTAACTTTATCTGCATAACTTATCTGTCTAACACATTGTCTAGAAGCATATGCTTAAGTATTGAAATGTTTGCATGTGAATACAAAATAAAATTGTTGCTAAGTATGTTTTTGTTTTTTAATATTGAATCCCTTTGGAATTCTAGCTATATATTTTTTCCTCCTTCTCAAAATGTACTGGGAAATTATTCGGCCTGATAATAATACAAAGAGTATTTTGATAACATGTAAAAGGCATTATATTTCCTCTAGACAAATCAGAGAAATGGAGCATAATTTGTTTCATTAACACATAGATGAGGAACTTTTCTTCTAAAATAGAGCACATTGAAACTATGTTTGTTTGTTTTTAAATACCAAATCCCTTTGTAGTTCATTAGTCAAGACTCTCATGACTAAATGCTTCAGGTGTAAAAAAAACCCACTTTACCTTATGGCGAATGAGAGCGGCCTGCTGGTCTACCAGGCTGATCTCAGATGTCGTCTGCAATTCACTGAGAAACAGCTTGATCCAGACAGAAAAGGACAGCAGCAGCTCATCAAATTGCTGGTGTTGGGCAACCACAGACTGAAGAAAATGAATTCTAGGTAGGGAGAAGGGTTACAGTTAAAATACTGCAAATGGATAGGAAGGATTTATGACGTATTTCTGGAACATGCTTACCAAAAGGCGAAAGGCATGTCCTCAAATATCTGTAAACTAGAAGTTTGGTGATTTCCACTTCCTCAAATCAACTTATCTCATCATTTTCCCTGCCGCAGTCCATGTGATCACCAGCCTGGGACCCCAAAATGGTCTTACGGAATAGACTTCATGCCTGAGATCCTTACCATCTCACCTGACCCCCACCCCCCGCCCAGGAGGAGTGTACCAGTCAATCCCACCACCAAAATAAATAACGATGCTATCTTCTCTCTCATGAGGAATCTGTACCTGGACCAAGAGGCAGTTGTTCGAACAGAACATGAGGAACAGAACGTGGGAACACTGAATGGTTTAAAATTAAAAAAGGTGTGCGACAAGTTTGTATTCTTTCACTATACTTATTCATACTTCATACTTAGGTGCACTTGACCCAAGCCATAGTATTTTCAATAACCTCATATGCATGTGAAAGCTGGACAGTGAATAAGGAAGACTGTAGAAGAATTGAAGCTTTTGAGTTATGGTGCTGGAGGAGAATATTCAAAGTGCTGTGGGCTGCCAAAAGCACCAATAGATCTGTTTTAGAAGAAGTGCAGCCAGAGTGCTCCCTGGAGGCCAGATGGCCAGGCTTCATCTCTCATGTTGTCAGGAGGGATCAGTCACTGGAGAAGGATATCATGTTTGGTAAGGTGGAGGGTCAGAGAAAAAGAGGAAGACCCCCAGCGAGATGGGTTTGCAAAGTGGCTGCATCAATGGGCTCAAGCATGACAACAATTGTGAGTTTGGCCCAGGACCGGGCAGTGTTTCCTTCTGCTGTGCATAGGGTCACTATGAGTCGGTATCAACTTGATGGCACCTAATAAGAACCACAAATCTCTCTGGTTTTGCTACCACTGCCTTGGTGGAACTCCCTTCATCTCTCACTTGGTCTCCAGCAACCTTCTAAATGGGTCTCCTTCCTTCCCCCTCTGCCTCCCTACCATTCATTCTCTAGGATGTGTGGTGGCTCTATAGGATAAGCACTGGACTGTGAGTCACAGGGTGTACAGTTTGAGCCCACCAGCTACTCTATGGGAGAAAGATGAGGTTTTCTGCTCCTATATAGATTTACATCCTAGAAAGTGCTATACAATCAGAACCCACTCAATGGCCCTTAACAGCCACAATCCGCTCTCTAGACAAGAGTCAGAAATTTTTTATATCATCTGATCTTTCCTTGGCCATTTTGAAACACTTGATCAGTTTTCTTCTGAAAGGCAAGCCCCATTATTCCTGACGGGGGTCTCTCAGGGATTATGCATCAGATCTCCTCTGGTCGCCATGTCCTGGGACAGATCCAAAAGTTGCTGGTTTTTGAGGAACGCTGATCTCACTGACACACTTCAGCCTCACATACACGTGAACCTTCTCTTTGTTTCTCCAGGACCCCAGTTCACAACGGCCATAGTGCTGGGCACTCTTTGTCCTTCGTCTCTGTGCCCTGCCCCCAGGGCACTGGGGGTCTTCATCCTGGGCATCACAGAGCCTTGGTTGATCTCCCAGTCCTAAACTCACCACCCTACAGTCTCGGTCACTTCACTCTTTTTTGTCATCGCCATAAGTTTGTTGCTGTTGTCGTTAGGTGTCATCAAGTCGGTACCGACCAATAGGGACCTTAGGCACAGCTGAACAAAACACTGCCCAATCCTGTGCCAACCTCACTACTGTTGTCATTCTTGGCATAATAAACCATGTGGTCGTCAGATTCAAAATGGCCAATACCAGTCCATTTAGGCTCATTAATGCCTAAGATATTGATGTTTATGTGTTCCATTTCATTTTTGACAACTTCCAATTTTCCCAGATTCATACTTTGTACATTCCATGTTCC